GGGCTAGCCCATTTTCAGTGTGGACCAGAAAATTGCCTCCCCAACCCATAAGTACGTGGGCTACAGGCTTGCCGGGACAGTCCACTTTATTTAAAAAATATATTATATTTAGAATTATTAAATTAAATTATAAATTATAATTTAAAAATATTATCATGAATATCGACAAAACAATATTACATGATGTTAATGTTACTATTTTTAATCAAATCCACAAATAAAAGTATCTTTGTAATATTTATTAAGTTCTTTTTCAAGTAAAAGTATAAATATCTAAATAGAAATATTAACCTAATTGTTTTGAGTTTGTACTCTCTTTAATTTTAAATTTTAATATTATATAATATTTTTTGATTAATTTTTATTGGCCCACGGGCCGGCCCTACGAATATTTCTCAAGCCCCACAACTCAACATGCTTATTCAGGTCTGGCTAAAAAGCTCTTTTCTCAAATGGGCTCCAAAAATCATAACCCAACCCTATTAAATCCAGGCTAGGCTAGGCCGGCCCAACAGGCCTAGCCCATATTGACGGCTCTACCTCCCCTAAACAGGAACTGTTCGGAATACTGTGAAGGGTCCATGCTCCATTTTGAGTTCGTAGACTTACCCGTTAGCCCGTTTTAGCCTTTCTCGAAGTCCGAGGTGTTACACGGAAGATTCAAATTTTAAGAGTAGAGTTGTAAAGTGTTATAGAATGATTCAAGTCTTAACTTGGAAATTTTTGAGGTGTTACAAAATAGGCCTGAGTGTAAAACCTTGAGTTAGGTAAACAGTTTGATGTTCACTTTATATCCCTCTTTTCTTGAAATCATGAAGATTTTTTTTTCTAGCAAAGAAGTAAACGAGTGACTAGTTTTATGATTGTATCATTTATTCAAATTGGAAAATAAATAAAAGTTAAGAGGTTTCACCGAGTCATAACTTTGGGTAACCGACATATCCCGAGTATAAATGAATTAGGTCATGTATAGTTCAAGTGGATAGAATGATAAATTGGAGAGTCAAGAGAGGTCCTATAGATATTCTGATTTTTGGCTATTTGTTAATAAAAGAAAAGCGAAAGGAAAAAACAAAATCCTATATGTTGTATAGAGTCTTCCTTTAAACCTTCGTTTTGGATCATCAATTATTACATCACCAGTTTATGATGGGTACCTTGATCTTGAAGTTAATATTTGGGACTTGTACTTGAAATTAGGCCTGAGTCACTGACACTATAAATTCAAATATCATTTTGTAAAACATTCTTGAATACTTATTTCATAAACAAAAAGAAATAATATCTAATGATAGATATGCAAATATAATTTATATCCTCCAACTATATGAAGTAATCTAGCCTGTTTCCAACTTCAAGAAAATCTTGAAAGCCAAAATGAAGGGAAGCTAAAAGAGTGACACTCTATCAAAAAGGAGTGTGGTGTTGCATTCTCTAATAGCTTTCTTGGAGGTGTCTTGTCAGGGAAAATCTTTCCCCTACTGCTAATGTTGAATCATATGGATCCCGTTAAACTTTTCATATCTTTTCATTTCACAATAAACATATTAAAATAAAATTGAAAATTATAGATAAAACAAATTTAATGACCCAACATCGAAATCAGGAGGAAGATTTTTCTCTAGCCCCAAGAGGTCAAGACACCTCCAAGGGTGCTATCAAAGAATGCAACATCACACTTCTTTTAATTGAGCGTCACTTTTTTAGTTTGTATTCAATTTTTTCCTGAATTTTTGTAATTGAAGGAGGAATTTTTCATTTGAAACTTCTAAACAATTCTTGAAGCTCTTCTCATGGTTAGAAACTTCATTCTTGGTTGAAGATTTAATTCTAGCATAACTGAGTTTTTACTTTGAGAAAATAAGATAATGTGATATTTGATCTCAATATCAAGGGTATATTTATAGTGATGATACAATTACCACATTATTTTGTGGAAATGGACTCAAATAATAAAAAAAGTAAAAAACATTTTATATGTATGTTCCTTTTCCAAAAGGATTTGACCAGATCATGTAATATTAATTAAATTTCCTTTTCTGTTTTTCTTTATACAAGAGGATTTGACCAATCTCAAAATATTAATTCGGTTTTCTTTTCTTTTTCTTTGTAAATATCATAACTATACATTCTATACTTTTCCAAATTAGAACTATATTCTTGATTTTTAAAATAATAAAAATAAATTGGGGCAATCTTTAATGGAATCTCTTAGTAAGTTCATTTGTGAAGTGATCTTAATTTATAAGGTAATTTTTTGTTTGGTTGTATTAGTATATTTTCAAAATTTGCTCTCGTTCAAACATATATATATAGTCATGCTTAGCAAAAGATCTTTCACTGAAAGTTATAGCAATGCGAAAATATATATTATCTAATTTATATTATTGTATAAAAGAATTAACACTTAAAATTAAAATTTTAAGATAATTAGTACGGACAAAACATTTATAAGCTCGTATAATTTAATCATAACTTACTACAACTAAAATAATATTGTAATATAAAACAAGGTATTCTAACACAATGACATATGTTTGAACCTCTTTAAAATTCTCTCAACACTAAATCATACATTATAAAACTCTAAAATGATGCAACAATTTTTTAATTTGTTTAACATCTTATATTTGGATTAGCTATTGAGATTCTCTTCAATATATCTCTTACAAATGCATATTTGATTCCTAAATTACAGAATTATATGCATTACATTCTTAGAACATTATTTATCTAATTTTGCGGCTTGAAAGCACTTTAGTGGAACTCATTCTACCTTTCCATAACGATTGTTTTTTTTTGAGCCACTAAATAATTGAAAGAGTTGTGTATGTAGATTTTTTTTAAAAAAAGTTTCTAACCTTTTCATATTTATTTGTATCATGTAGAATTAATTTCATATGTATATTGAACAATTTATAGAACATTCCATGAGTGATTAAATATTTATGCTTAGTGGGAGTTATTATAACCCAACTAATCGGGTCGTGAGGACACCTGCTTCAACATCTAGATAGGAGAATTCTTATTCGAAAAGTCAAACATAAAATGTGAAACTGTTTAAAATTTAAGTTAAACACTTAAATTAATTATTGAAATGCTCAAAGTTAGTTAAAATAAAGTACCTTTTTAAAAATATTTTGAACCCTCCCATAGAATTAGTCTAAACAAGTACAAGAGCTTTAAAAGATTACGAAATTCAAAAATAATAAAATATAACTCCGACCCCAGAGAGGAGAGGTAGAAGTTGTCGAGGATCATTTTCGTCTTCAACTAAGAAACGCCAGTGATCCTGCAACCTAATTATGTCAAGTAGCATAACAAGTGTAGTATCAATATAAACAACATGTACTAGTAAGCATCATCGATTAATTCCGAATCACCACATAATATCATTCAAATAATAAAAAAAATATGAAACTTGAAGATATATTATAATACACCCCTGATCCTTTAGCCACCACCCTTACTACCGGATACCACCATCTTTGGATTGATTCATTCAGTCTCAAGTCACCTCACCTCCCTCTGGTGCCAAACCCACAATCTCGGACATTTCATCCTCTTATCATATCATAACCTAATTCTTCTATCACATAAAATCTGAATTTTTTTTACTAAATTAAGCCATTATTTAAAGTAATATATTAAAAAATTATGTTTTTTCTAAAATTTTATAAAATTAGTATAAACGTATTTCACAGTAACGTTTTAGGATATATTTTATTTTTTAAAAATCTGACGGCGTTAGGTTTAGAAATGTTACTCAAAGTAACGTTTTACACTAAAAACGTTACTCATAAATAAGTTTTCTAATATATGACAGTCAAGTTTTACTCTTAAAACGTTACTCACAATAACGTTTTTTAATAATCCAATCGCACAAATATAACTATATAGTAATGTTTTACTGTAAAAACGTAATTTTCAATTATGAGACCGTGAATACCGTTTTTATTATAAACCTTAAATGTGCTACCATTGCTATTCTACCTTAAGTTCATCAGAAGACTAACCTGTTGTTTTTTCTTAATGTTTTTATAAAGCATTTAATTTCTTTCCTTTCTTTTGTTTTTAGTGGACCGCCTATTTACTCCTAAAATTGCAAGTTTCTACGAAGAATTTTAATTGAGTTTAATTGTGCTACCATTTGCTTGCTTCACTTCGGTGACGTTTGTTTGATAGCATTTATCTAAAGTGCTTGCTTGAACTGCTTTTTCATTTACCTCTTTTAGAACATTTCCAATTTCAATTTTAGTTGCTTTGTTAGTGCAAACTCTCTGAAAACTGCTTCTTCATTTTCCTTTGAATAAGAAAAGGACACAGCTAGCTAGCATCAGTTCTACCTCTTTTGACTTAATCAAGATCAGTCATGACACAGTAATAACTATTAAGTCATGCAATATGCAGCACATAGCTAAACACATGACTACATGCTAACGGAAGAATAAGTATGGCCACTTAATCCCAAAGTAATTTTAAGACATAAGAATCAATAATCGCAATGAATTCCTTTCATATAGCCAAAATATATATTCATATAAAATGCAATGACTTCGATTTGAAGGAATCACAACATAATTACAAAAAGGACAAGATAGTATTGTGAGCAACGTTTTAGGAATAAAACAAAGTCATGTATTAGAAAACGTATTTGTGAGTGACGTTTTTAGTGTAAAACATTATTGTGAGTAACGTTTCTCAACCTAAAGCCGTCAGATTTTTTAAAAATAAAATATATCCTAAAACGTTACTGTGGAATACGTTTATACTAGTTTTGTAATTTTTTTTTAAAAAAACATATTATTTTGATAAATTACTTTAAATAATGGCTTAGTTTGATAAAAAAATTCCATAGAAGCTTCTCCACCACTCATTCTACCAACAACAAAATTCCTCTGTTAACTCCATTCCTAATCTCATATCCGCCAACTAACAATAATTGACCAACAAAACTACTTATTTCTCCTTTAACTTAACCTACAAATGGTTTAATACTAGTTTGGGTGACTCAGACCACCCCAGGGATTCCTGAAATATCGCATCTCAAATGCAGTAATCGGCCCACACAAAAGGCATCCCAACCTTTAATTACACCAATACGACTACTCAAAGACCAACATAAAACAGTCACATTATGAAACGTAAATTCAATTCACTCATGAAACTTAACACATAAATAATCAATGTACTAGGCGTGGTACACGAGCCAACCATTAGTATGTATCGACATGCTTTATACATACATTTTACTTCACTACTACTACTATATTAGAAAAAGCTTGATTTCAACATGTGTGTTTCATCTCTAGGGATCTATTTTGTTTTCGCGTGTCTGTGTAGTCACCCTTCTTTACACGTGGCTTCCATGCCTGACCTTTATCTCTATTGTATGCTTTCATTTATGTTGAAGAAGATTAGAAGGTCTTTAGCAGAATCAACCATGAAAACAATATTAAGGTATTTCTTTTCTTCTCTTCGTCTTCAATTTTTTTTTTTCGAATTTTGTTTGTGCATAAAGATGAGAGTTCATATTTATAAATCTTTCCTGCTCTAATTTTTGGGTTTAAAAGTTTGATCGTTATGTTAGTTAAAATCTTAATAGAATTTGAATTAGGGCAAACACTGAGATGAAATTTACCCTGTTATCTCTCTAGAGTTATAGTCATCCGACTCACTGCCTCGCTTATCACCATCCGAACCAAATTTGAAAATTGTATTTCTCAATCAATTTTATTACTATTAAGGTTCCTATTATTCTTATTGTTTTCGGGTAGGTTTAGTCTGTGTTATTGTGGTCAACTTCGGAGTAATTATCAATTTTTTTGCGTTGTTTATGTTGATTGTTTGTTATTCTTGGATTCACATGTCTGCTTATATGTAAAAAAAAATTATGACCAGTCCACTTTTCATTCAAATTATTTATCCCAAATTTGAAACTAAGTCTCTACTGTCCTACACTCAATGCTTACAAAACTAACTCAATTGTTCTTTCAATTAAATGCTAAAAGTGAGTTTTTATTCTCCCTTGTTTGTGAATTTATTTTGAAAAAAAAAATCAGCTGTTGAAAGTTCATAAACATTTTAATTGTGATGAGGCACACTTAGATGTCGATTTATAAACATGGCATCTAACTATGTATTTTTATAAAATTTTCAAGTATTCTGCTCTTTATAATTTGTGATGAACAAAGTTTTGGTGTTTTGTGCAATGGAAAAATGTACTTTTAAATATATAAAGAAAATGTTATTAAAGATGTTTGAGATTGTAATGAAAATTAACTAATGTCTATATTTTAGTACCTTGGAGGACTCATGTTATTCGGAGCAACATATTCATTCTCGATGGTGATTAGGAGGGGTAGTAGGAATAAATGGTGGTATCAACATATCTTTTGTTTATCGATAAATTAAAAATTAATGAAATTTAAGACTTTCTGCCTTTTATTAACGGGCTATGCAAGTCGGGAAATACCCAAACAACAGTCAATTTACTGGGAAGCACGAAAAGAGAAAATCGTGAACCTAACATTCTGTCTTATAACACCATAATTGACATTTCATGTAAAGATAAAATGGTAGAAGAGACCCACAAATTTTTCACTGAAATGATTGATGAAGGCATTCCTCATGATATTGTTTTATACATTACAATTATTCAAGATTTTTTTTTATACTTTTGGGCTTTGGGAACAAGTTAAGAAGCTACTAAATCAGATGAAATGTCCAGATATTTATACTCAAATTTCAGTCTCATTAATTGGCAGAGAATGGTCGTTGCTCCACAGTAGAGACAACATGGGAAGAAGAGTAGAAGACTACGCATATGCGTCCGCCGCACTGGATGGTGAGGCTCTAACATCTGGTCAGTTCTTATTTATTTATGCAAAGAGGTTGAATACACTATTCCGCAAACAATAGTTACTAATTTACTATAATATACGTGTGAAGTTGAAATTAAGGAAAAATATATAAATTTTTAGCGAGAAACTAATTGTAATTTATATGATATAATATATATGTAAGACACCACAAAGAATGTGACATGTCACATAAGACACGTCTGTCTACTTGTTTCAACTTTATACAAGTTTACTTGCTTACTTGCGACAAGTTGCTCGACCAGAGGTAAGGTTGGGTCCCGGTCTTCCTACTTCCTCTTCGCATTCATGAAGGGGTGCTAAGACTAAAGGATAAAGGATAAAAGAGTAGGGTTGGAACTGTAAATCGAGGACACAACCAAGATCACTTGAGTAAGCAAATGTGTTTGTTATATGCAACTGCCTTATTTATTTAAAGTTATATCATACATTGTCCATAAATTGTTTCTACGTAACTGGAAGTTATTGACTAATATGTAAACTTAGTCGTCTTGTCGTTAATCTTGTTTCTTTACATACAAATAATGGAAAATAGAAAACTTATCATGAACGTTACTCACTCGTGAAGGCAAAATCTATGAATTTTCGCTCTTCTTTAACTCAACTTTGATGCTTTCAATTAGTCCGTACTCCCTTATAATACTACTGGTAAGCTATTGTTTAGCAGAAATTTTTCATTTTAATCATATATGCATTATTTTGTTCAATATTTGCTTTTTTATTTGATAAAACATTTTGCTTTGTAATATGTTGTTCTTAGAGTAATTTCATCATATTATTTATTGTTGTTTCTTTTTTATCCTTGTGTTGGATTAGCAAAATGCATGTCATTTTCTTCCTACTTGGGCAAAATTTCTTTGTGCCTATTAAATAAGTTGTGATTGTGGAGAATTGCTTTGGTAAAGTTTTTTTTTTTTTGGGAAGAATTAGTTAGTTGAGGGTGTTACTTGGAAGGATCTCCTGTTATCCGAGTATCCTCTCAATCTATGTCCAAAATCACAGAGACACACTTACACTATACTAAGGTCTTATAACCCTCTGAACTAATTTTATAAGTAATTTTCTACCCCTTTTCGGCCTACGTGGCACTAGTTTGAAAAAAAAAGTCAACCATCGTTGGGCCCACAAGATAGTGCCACGTAGGTTTAAAAGGGATAAAACATTATTAATAAAATAAGTTCAGGGGCAATAGGACCTTAGTATAGTATAAGTGTGTCTCTGAGATTTTGGTCATAGGTTGAGGAGGTACTTGAGCATTATTCCCCTGCTATCCTCATGTCATCTCTTTCCCTCTGCAAGTTATTTGTTTACATCCATTAGTTTATAAGGGATTTTAGAGGGAACAAATGACTCCTGTAGATCAACCATTTACATTTCTCCTTGGATCATTTATTTTATTTGGAAGATCAGTCACCTAAAATATGATAATCACGTGATTTTAATTCCATTTGTATGTTGCAGTAGCATTGAACTTTCAGGCGAAGGAAGAAAGTAACCTATGGAGTTTAGAATTGAACAAGTTATCTTATATGTAAGACAAGCATCTTCGTAGCATAATTTGATCTTGTTCGAGCTAGCTATAACAAGAAGCAAGGTACATAGATGGAATTATTGTTCTTGTGAATTTGTTGACGCATAGTCTGTATTTTGCAGATATTTGTAAAGAAATAGCCAAATAATGTCCATTTGTATGAAAACTCTTCGTCACAATTTTTTTTAGTTCAATACGTGCCTACTTGTTATATCGAATTGTGCATGTTGAAACCAAATACGCTATATATATCTCTTCAGGATGAGGCGCGGATATCTCCCTCTCTTTAAGGAGATTCAAGCCCACTGCAGCAAATGTTTTCACCGGTCCAGCAATAGTCCTCTTTAACTTGTCCCCTCCAGGATACAACAGCCTTCACAAAGTATAACTCAACAACTTTGGACAAGAGTTGAGTTCAAAGCTCCACAAAAGAGAACACCTCCCTTCAACTAATAAAAACTCTCTTTTAGACTAACTCTTTCACATTTTGTTTTCTCTTATGTTTTGTGTGTCTCTAAAACTAAATGAAGACTACCACTATTTATACTACAAGAAGTCTTCCTAGCAATGAATAGGAAGATAATGGAGGTAGTAAATAGTGAAGATAATGGCCTTAGGAGTTACAATGGGAGTTAAATATGTTACAAAGGTTACAATGAGAGTTACATAGGTTACAATGAGTAATGGAGGAATTTAGAATGAAATACATTGATGGATAACCAATGCTAATGGATGATGTAGAAGTCATCCATTCCAATGTTCTCTTATAACTCCAAAATAAAGCAATTTAACATGTTAAATATTAATATTAAAATGATAATAACCTAACAATCCCCCACTCATTTTAATCATATATTATTATAAGCATGAAGCTCAAAACTTAAAAGTTGAATTACCATTTTGCCCCTCTAATAAATTAAACTTATATAATTTATATACATATAATCTTCTTATTCTCATTTCATAATCTTGACCTTTCAAATTTCTAACATAAATGTAAATAAAAATAAAAATGAATAATTATTAAGAAATTAAAGTAGATTCATGCATCTTTAAAATTAAATTTCATCTCTATCTTTTTTATATTTATTTTAACAATAATTCATGTGACTTTTAATGTTTCCATAATTTTGTTCTATAAATTTAACTTTTTCAAGAAGAACTTTTATTTACCACTCCTACAATTCTTGTATGTAGGAACTCTAAACATGTGAAATAATGTCACAATTTGAGGTGAAAGTTGTGAGATTCCCTTATGCAGTTACGAGAATAGATAAGAATTCAATTACTGAAGCATCGGAGCTTCATGTGTTGGTTTTATACTTATTTGTAGTAAGAATTATAATAAGACTTTTTTGTCTCTCTTCATATAGTTGAATTCTTGTTTTATTAGCAAGTTGATCTAAATTCATATTTGTATTTGGTATGCTCAAATGTTCAGTTTCACTATAGAGACAAACAAAATGAAACGCCTAATTATCTTGCTCATGTATACCTTTTTTTTCTTTTCTCCTACTTATAATTTTTACATATACATTAATTTTCATATTTAAGAATGAATGTGTCACGACCCAAATCGGATCGCGACTGGCGCCCACACTTACCCTCCTATGTGAG